CACCTATTCAGAGGGCCTGATCCAGCTGGGGGCCCCTCAGCCTTTGGTTCATAGTTCATGAGTTTCCATTCATTTGTACCACATTTTCTTTATCCATTCTTCAGTTGAGGGGCATCTAAGTTGTTTCCAAGTTCTAGCTATTACAAAAAAGGCTACTATGAACATAGTTGAGCATGTGTCCTTGTATGATTGAGCATTCCTTGGGTGTATCCTCAAGAGTGGTATGGCTGGGTCTTAAGGGAGATCAATTCCCAATTTTCTGAGAAAGTACCATACTGATTTCCAAAGTGGCTGTACAAGTTTGCACTCCCACCAATAGTTGAGGAATGTTCCCTTTGCTCCATCCACATCCTCTCCAGCATAAGCTGTCTTCAGTGTCATTCTGACAGGTGTAGAATGGTATCTCAGAGTCATTTTGATTTGCATTTCCCTGATGACTAAGGATGCTGAGCAATTCCTTAAATGTCTTTCAGCCATTTGAGCTTCTTCTGGTGAGAATTCTCTGTTTAGCTCTATAGTCCATTTTCAATTGGACCATTGGATATTTTGATGCCTAATTTCTTTGTTTTATTTTATTTTACAATTTAATTTAATTTTACATATCAGCCAACAGATTCCCCTGTCCTCCCTCCTCCCTCTCCCCACCCCCACCCCAGCATCCCCCTACCAACCCACCTAACATTCCCATCTTCCCCAGGTAAGGACTCCCCTGGGGCTTCAGTTCAGGCTGGTAGATTCAGTGGAGGCAGGTCTAGTCCTCTCCTTCCTTCACCCAAGCTGAACAAAGTGTCCCTGCATAGGTACCAACTCCAAGGTGCCAGCTCATGCACTAAGGACTGGTCCTGGTCCCACTGCCTGGGGGCCTCCCAAATAGTTCAAGCTAATCAACTATCTCACTTATGCATAGGGCCTGATCCAGTTGGGGGCTCCTCAGCTATTGGGTCATAGTTCATGCATTTCCGCTAGTTTGGCTATTTGTCCCTGTGCTTTTTGCAATCATGGTCTCAACAATTCTTGCTCATACAATCCCACCTCTCTCTTGCCTATTGGACTCCCGGAGCTCTAACTGGGGCCTGGCCATGGATTTCTGCATCTGCTTCCATTAGTTATCGGATGAGAGTTCTACCAGAGAGTTAGGATGTTTGGCCATCTGATCACCAGAGTAGGTCAGTTCGGGCTTTCTCTCGACCATTGCCAGAAGTCTATTGTGGAGGTATCCTTGTGGATTTCTGGGGACCTCTCTAGCACTTTGCTTCTTCTTATTCCCATGGGGTCTTCATTTATTATGGTCTTTTCCTTGTTCTCCCTCTCTGTTCTTGATCCAGCTGGGATCTCCCAGTCCCCTAAGCTTTCTTTCCCTTGACCTTTGCCCTTCATTACCTCCACTCATGTCCAGTTTGCTCATGTAGATCTCATTGATTTCTCTGTCGTTGGGTGATCCATGTGTCTTTCTTAGGGTCCTCTTTTCTAGGTAGCCTCCCTTGGGTTATGAGTAGCAGTCTAGTCCTTTTTTGTTTTATATCTAGTATCCACCTATGAGTGAGTACATACCATGTTTGTCTTTCTGAGTCTGGGTTACCTCACTCAGGATGATTTTTTTTTCTATTTCCATCCATTTGCCTGCAAATTTCATGCTGTCATTGTTTTTCTCTGCTGAGTAGTACTCCATTGTGTATATGTACCACATTTTCTTTATCCATTCTTCAATTGAAGGGCTTCTAGGTTGTTTCCAGGTTCTGGCTATTACAAATAATGCTGTTATAAATATAGCTGAACATGTGTCCTTGTGGTATGATTGAGCATTCCTTGGGAATATGCCCAAGCGTGGTATAGCTGGTTCTTGGGAGAGATTGATTTCCAGTTTTCTATGTAAGCACCATATTGATTTCCAAAGTGTCTGTATA